ATCACCTAAAGCTATTATTTTTCGTGAAAGAATGCAGTGAGCAATGTACTCAACACATAGTCTTACTGAAAAAAAATTAGTGAATCTCAGCTCAGAACCAACTACTTCATTTATTTCACATTTTATTTTTGACAGCTTATACATTAATCTGGATCTTGAGTATCTTCATCTATTGGATCCAAGGATCAACATGTTAAGAAAAAGACCTCAGGAAACGAACATTTATTGAAGACTTATTACATGTTTGCATTTGGTGTATTGAGGTATAATTTACTTACCATAAAATTTGTCTGTTGTAAGTGAACCAGTCAATGATATTTAGTGGATTTATAGATTTGTACACTTTCATCAATCTGAGAAGTTTTTTCATATCTTTTGTAATCGACTCTTGCTGACCTTTGAGGTGCTTTCTGTTTCTATAATTTTGAATTCTCTAGAAATTTCATGTAAACAGAATCATATTACATAGTCTTTTGTGTCTGTCTGGCTTCTGTCCACTTAACATGATTTGAGATTCATCCATGTTGTTAAATGTCAGGAAGTGGTATCTCAGTTCACGAACTTGATTCTTTCCACTGAGGTGAACGAGAACCAAATCAAATTCAATGGTTAGGTTCAGTGATGACCTTTTGTGGAAATTTGATTCAGTTCTTGTCCAGTTCAGTTTACAACCAGAATTGTGGAGAGAACTGAGTTCGTGCATGAACTGAGGTACCAATGTACCACGTTCTTTTTCATTGATGAGTAACATTCCACTGGATGACTACAGTCCACCACATTTTGTTTATCACCTAGGATAGCTGGGTCCTATTCTAATGCTAAATATATGCTAAGATGCTAAGTATATGTTTGACCTTTAAACTCAAAGTGGTTATAGCATTTTACACTCCCAGCAGCAATGCATGAGATTTCCAGTTTCACCACATTCTTGCCAACATTTGGTACTCTCTTAACTTTTGCCTTTCAACAGAGTACAAAAGTAAAATACTATTGTTGGTTTAATTTTTATTTTTCCAGTAGTGAATCATGTTAAACATCTTTTTATGTCTTTATTTTCCATTTGTATGACATCTTTGGTAAAGCGTCTGTTCATATCATTTGTTCATTTTTGAGTTGGTCATTTTGTCATTACTGAGTTGTAAGAATTCTTTGTATATTTTGGTCAAAGTCCTTTCTTATATAATTACTGTGAAAATATTTGCTTCTGCTCTGTTGCTTGCCTTTTCATTTTTATAATGGTGTCTCTTGAAGAACAAAGTTTAATTTGGTGACATCCAATTTATTAAATTTTTTTAGTGTCCATATATTTTGTATTGTATCTGAGAATTTTTCCTTAACTCACTGTCACTATTTTTATAGAAGTTTTAGCTCATACATATGATATATTTTGATTAAATTTTTGTGTAGTCATTGTAAGCATCAAGGCTCACAATTTATATGTGTAAATCCAATTTTCCAGTACTAGTTTTTTAAAAAAACTTGGCTTCTTATTGCTTTGTCATTTTTTATGAAAATCAATTGACCTTATATATGACAGTGGATTTTCTCTTATGCTCCATCTATTCTTCTGCCAATACCATACACTCTTAATTACTGAAGCTTTATAGTAAGTTTTGAAAGCAAGAAGGGTAAGTCTTCCAATTTTTTTCTTTTTTTTAATGCTATTTAGACTGTTATAGATCCTTTGTATTTCCATATAACTTTTAGAATCAGCTTGTCAATTTGTAGCAAAAAAACTTTCTGAGGTTTTGATAGCGTTTATGTTGGATCTGTAAATCAGTTTGGGAAGAATTATCAGTATTAAATTTTCTAATCCATGAACATGGTATATATTACAATAATTTAGTTTTGTAAATTTCCCTCAACAATGCTTTTTAGTTTTCACTGTAGCTTCTGTAGTCCTTAGGTTAAATTTATTCTCAAGTATATTATTTTTTAATGTTATTTTACATGGAAATTGATCTTTTTAAAATTTCATTTTCAAGTTGTTCACTACTAGCATATCATAATAACATTTTTGTATATTGATCATATATCCTGCAACCTTACTAAAGTCACTAGTGTTCTTGTAGCTTCTTGTAGATTCATCAGTATTTTCTAGTTACCAAGATTATACTGTCTATAGATAAAACTGGCTGTATTTCTTCCTAATTCTTAGACTTTTAATTCTTTCTTTTGCCTTACAGTCTTTGACTTTTAGATTTGAATCGTGAGCAAACTTCTCTTCAGTAAATTGATACCTCATACTTTTTTGAATTCTGAAATGCATGCAGTTCGTCCTGGTGAATTGTCATTTTCAGCTAGTGTATAATGCTACTGCCTATAGCTAAAAGTTCAGTTTCATTAGCACTGCCATCTTTACTTAAAAAATAAGTGTCCAGGCAATTATTACAAAAATCTAATTGCACTTTGCACTCATTATTTAGGGAATAAAAAGAATAGAAAAGGAGAAAAGGTTAAGTGTTGCTATCAGTAATAAGCATGAGTCTCATAAACTTAATAACTACTGAGACAAAGATGGAAATCATTAGGCTTGCTGAAAGTGGCAATTCTTTTGCCTTGATTAAGTGTTCACTAGACTTAATAAGCTGGTCAACCATGAGAAAGAGAAAAAGGACAACACCCAAGACTGTCTAAAATGCAGATATAATTGGTCATTTTATAATATATTTCAGGTCTTTGAGAACATAAGTGCCTTTATGATGGGTACAACAACTGTTATATTTAAGCACAATTCAATTCACAAATATTCTATGAAAGATATTCAGTCTTCAAGTATGGGAAATACAAGGACTTCATCTGATCTTAGAAAACTTTTGAGAATGGTGCAGCAATTACTATTTACAAATCAGAAAACACACAGACCTACAAATTTAAGTAACTTCTCAAAGCATACACAACAATGGTGGAGATAGGATTAAAACCTAGGTCTTTTGTCTCTAAAAGTTCTAAACTTAGCTCTGACTTTCCAGTGCAAACTATTTCCCTGTCCCACATCCTAAAGCCTCACTGTTCTACCCACTGCTCAGGAAACCTGTGATTCTGTGTGTGCTATGGTTACTAACATACTCTGTATTTCCCCAGTGACTTATAAGGTAGTTTTCCAGTGACAAATGGGGAAGAATTTATATTCTTGATTTGCTGTGCCCCAAAATAATCATCTAAAGGTTTAAACACTATAGTAAAAAGCTGGTTGCATAAATATGTATAAATAAATACAGAAAGCTCAGTTTGAAACAAATAATTTCTCCTTAAGTTTGGGTTAGAAATGCTTAGGAAGTATAAATTAGAAAAGATACTGAAATTTTTTTTTGGTACCAGGGATTGAACTTGGGACCTTGCACTTGGGAAGCAGGCGGCGAAACCACTGAGCTAAATCCCTGGCCCTATATTGAAATTTTTAAGTGATGCAGTTCAGGCTTTCCTCCCTGCCTTCATGTGTTGGGCAGATACTGAAAATACACTGCAAATGTATTTGTAATACATTCCAAAGCAGAAAAGTTGATGTAAAACCATTAAATTATGGAAAGAGAAAAAAATCTCTGCAACCTGTCTCAACACTCCATAGGGAAAGTCCAACTGTTAGATCTAGATGATTCAGACTAAAATCTTTAAAACCTAGATTCGTACAGCCAAAAAAGAATAGCCAGCTTTCTGCTGATAAGGATACAGAGCAAGGGAAATAGAAACCATATCAAAATAGCTTCTCAGGGGCTGGGGATTTAGCTCAGTGGTTTCGGCACCTGCCTCGCAAGCGCAAGGTCCTGAGTTTGATCCCCAGTACCAAAAAAAAAAAAAAAAAAAAGCTTCTCATTGTGTGTCAAGTGAGCATCAAATAGATGGTTTGGATCCAGTTCATTAGAAAGGATTTCAATAAACTAAGTGGTGCCTTGATTCATGAACTCAATTCTCTCCATGACTCTGGTCACAAACCGAACTGGATAAGAACCAAATCAAATTTCCCCATAAGGTCAACATTGAACCTAACCATTGAATTTGATTGAGTTCTCTTCCAGTTCAGTTTGCAACCAGAATTGTGGAAAGAATCAAATTCGTGAACTGAGGTACCACTGTACTTTCATCAAGCAAATAGTAATCAGTTCCTTGTGTAGTTAAGGCAATACCCGAAATCAGAAATAGTCATGTCAGTTCATGATATGCCAGGTTAACCATGTGCAGAATAAAGAAGCTGTCCTATATAAATTTGATCCTTTGCTCAACAAACCTTTGGAAGAGAACTTTTTCACAAGCCCTCTATTTCATGTCTATTTTTTAAAAATCAATTATCTTTTCTAAATAAAACATATTTTATACTCATTGTGAAGTTCAAATATACATGGTGATGCCTTTGAAAATCTCTGTAGTTCATAAAATGTTAGAAACAACCTACTTGACTGAGGGACATGGTGATATAACAGACAAATAGGGGTCAGCAACTATGTGCCCACAGCCTGTTGGTTATTTTTGTAAATAAAGTTTTAAGGGAACACAGCTATGCCCATGCATTTATATACTGCATATGGCTGCCTTCTTGCTATAATGGCAGACTTGAGCAGTTGCTACTGATGCCACATATGGCCTGAAAAACCTAAAATATTTACTCAGTGGCCCTTATAGAAATTTGACAAGCTTTGTGACAGCGAATTTAAGAACAATATGGAAAGATACACTTCTCAGGATTTTTTTTAAAAGGCAAGATAGAATATTTTTTTTTGTATAGTACACTATATGAGTGAAAGTGGGCATAGAAAAGAGGCCAAAAATGTCAAGCAGTTAGATTTGGGATATGGGTGATTTGCCTTTTCTCCTATGTTTTATATTTCTCTAAAATGACCTCAGATTTCTTTTATTATCAAAAAACTAAATTTCATTTCAATAATTATTTTAGTTCATGTCTCTGTCTTGTACACAGTGGGTGTGACTAAATTCACTTGTCTCCCCACTTGGCCCCTCCCCACTGGAGTGCTGAGGGTGGGAGAGAGGAAGTCCTGGGCAAGTACCTTATGCTCATCCCGAAGGTGACTGTCCAGTTCCTCCGTGTGCTTGGTCTCATAGTAGCAGAGCTGGCATTTGTAAGGTTTCAGTTCATTGTGCTTTTCTATGTGTTGCTGGAGGCTCTCGTCACTGGAGCAGGTGAAGGTACACTTATCACAGCGGAAAACTACTCCCTGCAAGTATTTTGATAGTTTGGAACGGCACACTTCAATGGGGACAACTCGCTCTTCTGTGGAGACAAATTGAATGGAAAGATGGGCATTTTTACTGATGGCAAGCAGATGTTCTTTTCCTTGGAATATAAGAAACTCAGTCAACTGTTCTACTTCTCATGGGTCTGGGTCTGTGGTCTGCACACACACTCACACTGCCCCACCCAACCCCCCAAACAATGTATTTCTCTGGTAAAAGTGTTGTTTTGAAGACCAAAGCCTCTTTGTATACTAAACACCCAAACTGACTTATAAATAAAGGTGGGGCAGGCTGAAAGGTGCTCCATAATTCCTCAGTGGGTGACTGAGGTGAGGGCAGGAATGGAAATGGTTGCCATTTTTACCAATTTTAGTGGTTATTGATAAGAACCATTAGCATCCCCTTCTCCCTTAGCAAATGTTACTGAGGCTGGACCTACAGATTTCTCTAAGAGGGGAAGAAATAGATATTACTGGGTCACCTATGTGCCACCACAGCATTGGCATTTTCCTCTCACACCTCTGTGAAGCTAGCGTTACTCCTATTTTCACAGTAAGTAAAATGATGAACAGTGTATGTTAGTAACTCTCCAAAGCTCCCGCCATTGTCACTGGTAAAACTGAGATGTGAACCAGGCCTGCCTCACTGCAGATGCATTATTGGCGGTATTTCCAATCCCATTCATATTTCTCCTTTTAAGATGTTCACAAGATGACTCTTCTATTTTAAAACCAAGAGAATCTCTAATCTAATAGTGAATCAGAAAAACAAAGAAACCTGTATACTTTCTTTCACTCAAACTCCAGCTGTGATGAGCTCACAAATGAAATGGCTGCAGGCAACATTTAGGGGAAAGTAGGGGTCCTGCAGGAGACACAGAGGATCTTGCCTTTTTCAGACCATCCTTAATCTGATTGTTACAATGGGAAGAAACTAAGAGAGGATTTGGGTGCTTTTCCTCTTAATGTACCAAATGCTGTAGGGCTGGAAATGCATGTGCTTGTTTATATTGCACTCTCTCACCCTTGTGTTTAACTGCTCAAATTAAATTTCACACCAGTCTGCCCAGAGTATCGGCGCACACGCCAGATATCCATAACTGGGATAAAATTAAAATCTGTGCTATTTATGCAAGAATCAAATATAGCATGAGTTTTCATGCTGTGTCTGGAATTCAGAAGACTCTGAAAGTTTACAAATGGATGCACACAACATATACTTATATTATTTAGAAACAGCAATGTATTATTAAGTCAAGAAAGCATGATTTATTCCCAGAGCCTCTGAGAAGCAATGTTTCCAGAACATCAGTATTTTGTGCACTGATGTGATCGGCTCCTCCAGCCCTCCCTTTGTTGTTGGCCTGTATTCAGCCCCGGGGAATTTCCCTGCCCAAAGTCATGCCTTAGTCTCAACCACAACATTCTAACTTCAGGGCAGTCGCTGCCTTGGGAGTCCTTGAATGCCGAGATTAATTGGCTAGTAAAATGCTGGGCAGAAGAAGTGTGGAGGTTGGTGTCTGCAACATATACCCTGAAGCTCTAATGCATATGTTATTTTCCCTATACAAAAAGTCAGTTGCTTATTTAGAAATATAAATATTTTAAAACCAAAGTGTAGCAGACAGCTAAGAAACACATCATTATAATGTAATCCACACATTTCTTAGAATAGCAAATGCTTAACAATCTTCTAACCATTCAGTTCCATGGTTTGGTGTAAATGCTTTGGCGTAAACTAATGAGTCCTAAAGAACACATGCTAGGAGAGGCTATTCCTCTAACTCCAGGTTTCTTGACAGAGGTGTGACTGACATTTTGGGGTTGGACAATTCCTTGTACTAGGAGGAGGCTGGCCTGTGCATTGTAAGATGTTCATCAGCATCCTGGTCTCCACACACTAGATGCCACCCTCTTCCTCTCCGGTTGGGACAACCAAACATGTCTGCAGATTAAGGAGGCAAGAGAGAGTGAGCTCAGATGAGAAACACTGCTCTAAGCAAAGCACAGGGCATGATCTCCCACTGCTATGTGTAAGGAAGTCCTTGGCGTGACCCATGAGCAAGGTGATGACATGGTGTGAGCTACAGTGGCAGCGTGAACCAGGGGCTAGTCTGCACAACAGAGTGTAGCATCCACAGGAAGTTGAGTGAACTCTCCTGGCACCTTCCTTTCTTGAGGCTGTAATTGCCCTTGCTCTCTGTGGCTGCTCCTAATTTACACTGTCATATCTACTGCTTTCCTATCCATTTTTCAGCTCTGGTCTGTCCTACCTGCCTTGGTTTTGTTGACCTCAGTGGAGATGAGAACAGTTGTGTATAGCTTTCCACATAATAGGGCCCCAAACAAGTTGAAGATGGTCATTCTGTCCCTCTCTGTCTTCACTTCCCATTGTAAATAATCAGCTCTTTCAAACATTTTTTATGGGTCTCCTTTTCAATTCCTCTACCACTCTGGTTAGTTTTCTTTGCAGTTTCCAATTTCACTATGTGTATCTCAGTGAACTTAGCACAAAGTCATGACTACACAGAATAAAGCACTGGAATTTAAGTAATAATAATTAATGTGCACTATATTTATTAAACGCCTACCATGTTTGAAGCACAGCGGGGTGTTCTGCCCTCCCTGTGATTTCTTATCCTCACAGTATTCTACAAAGTAAGTTTTATTTTCTTCAGTTTGTTGATGTGGAAATTGAGAAGTGATCAATTAAGATACTTCCTCAAAGTCACATCCTTAGTTTAGCACAGGTTGGCAATCTGGGAGCACAGACCTGACCTGGGCTAGCACCCACTTCCTCCAGCCTACTAAGAACTCCCTGGGAGCCTGCAGTCTGAATGTAGTGTACCAGTTGCCCTTTATACTTAATATTTTAAAACAGGAAAAAGCTACAGATTTCTAAAGTAAGGTATATTCAGGAACTGCTAAAAGGACATTTCCCTGCCTGTTTAATCCGAAATGTGACTTCCCATTTCCAAATTAAGATATCACCAGTGTATTGAGTATCTCACTTGTAGGGAATTTTACTATGACATCAATTTCAGAAAACAGTTAACCTTTCTTCCTTTCTAAAAACAAGGCTAAGATGACCAAGATTAAAAAAAAAAAAAAGGCAAACTTTGAAAGGTGGGCAAATGACCGACAGTGCTTTCTGAATGAGGTTATTCATTACCTAAGCAAGTGAAGGACATAAAGTTAAAGACTGGAATGTTTCCAGGTCCTGCCTTGGCTACAGACTCTCAGTGCTCAGGGCTTTTTTCTGTGGGGGCAGTGACAACTGTGGGTCTTTCTTGACTTCACACCTCTCAAAATTACCTTGGGTACGAAATCAAGGCCTGAATCACACTCATTGTGACTCAGCTTCCAGCACTGCTTACAAAAATATTATGACTTCAACAGTTTGACTATAAGATGGATTGTGTCTCTCATCTCCTCCTACTCCAAAGATGCCTGGTGCTGCCATGGAACAAAGGGCCAGGAGGCTGGACCCAAGGAACACCACACTGAAGCACCTGTGTCCTAAGTGCCACAGGAGCTGAGAAGTGTACTCCATCAAGCCTTGTGGAGCTCAGTGGAAAAATCTGCAGAATGACAACTACAGAGGGGTCACTTCTTTTCAGATCAGCAAAATACTGCATCACTGTGGAGTCTAAAGTCACCAAGTAAAAATTCTTTCTAAGATGCAAACCATAACATGTGTTTTTTCCCCCCAGAACACGCCAAGTCTAAAAGAAGCAGGGAGAGCTCTAGAAGTCCTTTACTTGGACAAAGTTGGTATAACAACTACCACCCCAAGAAACTGAGTCCCTCTTTGAGCCAAACCAAAAGTCCATCTGTTACTCTTAACAAACAAGTGACAAAGGTTGAATAATTAAACAACAGTCATCAAGAAAACAGCATTGTTAATGTTTTAATCCTAAAATAAAACCAGAAACAGATACACATAAATACAAGCAAAACAGCTTTTGGTAATAAGTACTAAGTTTTGATGTTAGCTAGGCTTCCATGCTCAAGCTAGACATAGCCAGGAACAAACAGCACCTCTAATTCTATCAGGAAAAAGTATTTGGTGAGGTTGGAAGGGAGCATATAATTTTACTAAATAATGACAAAGATTGGCAATCTCACTGCAGATATTTTTCTCAAAAGAAAAATGACAGGATTAGATAAATCAGGGAAGATAACTTCCCTTCTCTCCTTCTATCTGCAAGGTTTAGATATAGTTAGCACTCATCTACCTACTGAAAAACAAACATTAGGAGACCAGGAACAGGGATTAGCTAGGCAATCACAATGTAAATATTTGGCAAAACTGTCTTTCATCCCTAACATTCAATCTGTGCCCAATTTTTTAGGCTCACCATTAGGGAGAGGTGTAAGGTGCATATGGATAAAGCTGTGCATGATGCATCTTATTCTTACTGTGGTAAACTGAATAGAAGTGTGCTCATGAAATTATTCTCTTGTTTATTGTTTCTTTTCTTACTAAAGTTAAATTCCTCCATTGTACAAACCTTGCTTGACTCTTCATGGCTGTATCCATTCAAGAGCTTAAAACACTGTTATATAATTAGCATGTGGATGGCCCTGGGTTCAATCTCCAGCAACACACACACACACACACACACACACACACACACACACACCACTAGCATATAATGACTGTACAACAAATACACTGCTCAAATGAAAGAAAATCCATCAGAAGCTCTACTATCAACTTTGAAATTTAAATCTGAGGGCTTAATTTTTTCCTAGCTAAACTCATTAAATCATGGCCAATTTCATCAAATGTTGATCTGACCTAAATCCATAGTTCCTGAAAAGTATGAATCAACCAATGTCTTGCTTCAACTTTTGTTAAATTGTATTTAACAAATGTCTCATTGGAAATCTAATCAAAATTTGCCCTGGCTTTCTGTTTGTCTCCTGAGTCCAGTTTATACATTAGTATCCAAGCCCTTCATAATTTAGCCAGAACAAACTTTTCTAGTATTCCTATACTCTTTTTCAGGTGCCAGAACAGTGCGATACAATTCTGTAAACATGTTTTGTTTCCACTGATCTCAATGGTTTATTAAATCATTCCTTCCCCTCAAGCAGTGGGTTGAATAGCGCCTCCCACAAAGATATATATCCACCCTTAACTTCAGCATGTGCCTGTACTAGGACATGGGACCATTGCAGATGTAATTAGTTAAAATGAGGTTATACTGGATCAAGGAGGGCCCTAAATTCACTGATTGGTGTTTTTAAAAGAGGAGAAGGCACAGAGAGACACACAGGGAATGAGGTCACAGCAAGATGGAGACAAAGTTTGGAGTGATGTAGCTACAAGCCAAGGATGCTAAGGAATCCAGGATGCCATCAAAAGCTAGGAAAAGGTAAGGAAACATTCCTTCCTCAGAGGGAACATAACCCTGTCAACACCTGATTTCATACTTCTCCACCCCAGAACTGCAAGAGAATACATTGTTTGAAACCTCCCCGCTGGTAGTCATTTATTATGGTAGCCTTGGGAAGCTAATATGCCCCACTTTGAGTTTTCTCTGACTATTGAACCACTATGAATGGCTCAGTTTAAAAGCTACCTTTGTTTACCACCTTTTTCTACCCGAACAGAAACGTAACTCCTGGACACTTGGCACTCACTGGCTTGGACATCCTATGCACGTGTTCATCCCCTCAAGGAGGCAGCTCCTGGGTCTTCTATACCCCTTTGGAACCAAACAACAAAGAACAGCGAAGCATGGAAGAAGCAAATAATGAGCATTTGTTGAATGCATGAACAAATAGTATTATTTCTTTTGCCAGAGCCAACACAAATCTTTGGTTTAGTTCTCATGCAGCTTTCCTTCAAATGAAACTTACTGTCTTCCCTTTTCTCCCTACTTAAATGTATCAATGTGTTTGGACAAGAAGTGATGGAAACTATTCTTGCCAGCAGTAGCTCTGTCTCGGCCAGTTCAGAAGTTGTTTTTCTTGCCTTTCATCCCAAGTATTTTCACTAACCAAGACCTCAGAACAATCTCACCCTGCAGACCCTAGAGACCAAAGATGTTTATTCTGAGCTGGAAGTGCACAGGTGTAAAAGCCACATCTTGTCACTCTGAGATCAGTCCCCATGTGGAACTGTAAGGCAGATAGATGCCCAGTCCTGTCTCCTGACATGTGAAGACCAGCTTCCCACTGAGCTATCACTGTGAGCTGAAGATACCAAAGCCAGGTTGGGACAGATGGCAGATTAAACTGTCCTGGAATTCTCTGCTGTCCGTGGATCAGTGGGCCTCATCCCTGACCTCCAGTACCATGGGTAATTCTGGCCTCAGACCCAGCTGCCACAGCCCTTAGAATATCCAACAGGATGATACCACCTTCCCCGGGGTGAGAAAGTGGTGCCTTTCTTTAAAACTAAGGTCTGTGGGTCATGCACACCTAGGATCAGATCCCAGCTGGTTTACTAAGAGTCATGTGACCTTAAGCCTAAATTGTTCAGCCTTTCTGAACTTTCATATTAATCACATAGGGTCTTCTGAGAATTCTGTATGACACTGTATAAATCACTTACCGTAATGTCTATTACCTAGTAAACACTCACTAAAGGTATCCACTATTGTTGCTATTATTAAGTTGTTACTAATTTTCAAATGCTCATGTTAACTTCAGGTTGGTGCTCTCTGACCTTCAGGAGGGCAATATTTAGATACTTAGAAAATTACCTCCATAACTAAACATAAGGGACTGTAAACAACCAGTGGCAAGTAATGTGATGGAACATGGGATCAAAAGAATGAAGCTGACTCACAACTTCACTGCTTATCAGTTGGGTGACTTAGTTAAGTGATTCCAGCTCTCGTTGGCTCTATGTAACTTACTAAGCTGTTGAGCACCCCTAATGTGAACATCTGAAACCCAAAACCCAACACCACAGTGATGCTCAAACAAGTTTTTGATTTTGGTGCATTTTGGATTAGTAAACTCTATTTAGATATTCCAAAATCTGAAAAATTCCCAAACTGGAAATAATTCTGGTCCCAAGCATGTTCGGATAAAGGAAACTCAACCTGTACTATATTTATGGTGAGTAGAAAATACACTATAGCAACGATTGCTCTTTTCAGGGAATCTACCATAGAAATTCCTGTCAAGTTTCTGCATCTGGTATTTCTGAAAATTTCCCACACAACACTTAGTTTCCTTCACTCTCATAGCAGTGGGAATCTCAGAGCCTAATCGGAAGCTCACTACTAAGAAATATCAGTACACTGTATATCTACCACGTCTCCAAACTCTTGACTACCCTTTTCATACTTTCAGGTGCACTTTCTACTGCTTTCATCTTCTTTCTCATTTGCCTTAATTTCCTCCTTTGTATTTAATCCTAGAGCTCTGCAGGAATGTACTTAAGCTACCCTAAATCTTTTATGAAATGAAGTAGACCACAAATAAATACTACACATTGAAAAGGAAAAACAAAATAAAGAAAACCCAAAACTCTTTCTCAGCCACAAGTTTTACACACATAAAACAGCTGTTGCTCAAAGTGATGGAAGAGGAAGTGACTGGATGTGTAAGCAGCCCTTTGTCATGGTCTTAGTGTTTAATCTTTTTGTTTCTCTTTCTTGAATTCTCAGCTCAGAAAAGTCATTGGGCTTCCTAGGCATCAAAGCCCTGAGCAAACCAGGCAGCAATATGGGGAAAGAAGGAAACCAACCACAGAAATGGAGGACTCACCATTTCTGCTATCTTGGCAATGGCACCGTGAATGGCCTCCACCCAAGCTGTGACAGGGCACAGAGCCACTGCAACACATGGGCTGGGGGACCGGAAGCCAGGTGACTGAGGCAGAACACCAGGCAGGACCACTCAGGCCAAGAATTCCTGCCTAAATGTTTCGATGCTGCTTTTCCCAGCTTGCAGGTAGACATCCTAGCCAGCAACAATCTCATGTCTCATTAGTGTGCAACAGGGAGAAGGGAGACCCGAGGATGCTAAGTGTTGAGTCTTCTATGGAATTTGCAGCACATATGTGTATGCCACAAAATGTACTGGACAAAGGCAGTGGCTCAAGGAAAACATGGGATACTTTACAAATGCCCTCCCACCCCCGATACTGAGATTTCACCTAGATTTCTGCTGGAAAGCAGATGCTGTTCACTGTTTTTGAGGTCTGTGTGATAAATGTTGAAAAGCTATCCAAGGTTGAAAGCAAAGGAAGTATGATGGGAAGGAAGAGGAAGAAAGCAAGGGAGAGAAGGAAGGAAAAAAGAAGAAAGGGAAAGATCAATAGATGGAAATGGAAAGCAAGACTGGCAATGGATAGTAATCTTTCTCCAACTCCCTGAAGCTTCAATTTTTTCAGGACAAAGCAGACCCTACATAAATACATTTTTCCTTCCAATGCAAAAGCAGCTTGATGTTTAGCAGTGTTTTAACTGACCAAGAGTAAACTCAACACAAAAACCAAAGCGGACTTAACAGAAGTATCCTTATTGGCCAGTGGGAACCAATATTCATGGATCAACTCTTTATCCATTATGTTCTGGATATAATCATCTCTACAGGTAAGAGGTTAAACAGTGTAGGATTCAAAACCAGAATTTCAGTTCAAAGCTCATTCTATGGGTTTTCTAATATAGATCAGGCCACTTTTATTTTTTAAGAATTCTTTCTCTCTGTCCATTTCAAGGGAAATTCTACATTTTGCTTTGGAAGTCATCATTTTGATCTTTTCCAAAATAACTGCTTACAAGCATATACAGTAGCTCTTCAAGTGTTACGTTTGCTTTCACCCACACATTTTGTTTCTCATTCATTCCTTCCTCAGGTGCATCCTACACATGGTTGTGGATGGCAGAGGATTCAGAATGTGCCCTGTGGAGATGTTCACAGCAGAATCCATCCCCTTTGCCTCCCTCCACGTGGAGCAATCCCTTTCAGCAGGAAGGTGTTTTTATTCTGTGGGCTGTCATGGTGCTTATCACTATGGTTTCTTACCTGGAAGAACAAGAAACCAAGGCAGAAGTGGTACTATTGTAGTCTCGAGAGAGTATTTGGAATAGCACTATGTGTTCCTCCCACTGGCACCCAAAGGAAAAAGGAGGAAGGTTACCTCGGTGCAGCACGATGTGGTCGATCATGTTGCGTTTGTATTTGGTGTGATAGAGGCAGAGAGGACAGCGGAGATCTTTGGGGCCCTCCTCAGGAACTGCTGAATGCCCAGCTTCCACGTGCATAGTAAAAGCAGATCTAGGAAAGAGGTTGAAGAGACAGGCGGTGAGTTTGACAACAGGTCATTTCTTTCACACATCTCTTGCCAGCAAACCCACCATAGTTGAACAAGTGTGACTTTCCTGCTTGAGGGGCCAAAAAGTAGCTATCAGTCGTGTCTGCTAATCGCAAATTCCTTGGTCACTCAACAGTAATCAAACACACAAATACAGTGGCAACATTATTATTATTATTATTATTATTATTATCATTTAGAATTCTGCTAGTTGGCTGGGATCAGGGCTTGATTTAGAAAATAATATGGTCCTTAAACACCTTCATGGAAATTAGAAATTGCATATTAATGGTATAAAAACAAAATCCCCAAGAGAAATGTTTCTCCTCATGCTAGGAGAAGGACTATTTTAAAGCTTGGTTGATTTACAAACTTCCTACTTGAGTCTTCTCAGGGAAAAAAGGTACAAGCTGTTTAGGTCATGATGGCTGATGAGTAGGGAGACTTAGTCCACACAGTTGTACCACCTTAAGGGCCCGTCACCTCTTTCTCTACCCTTTCCAAATCCTCAATGTTTACAAAACTCTTATATGTCTCATAAAAATGGATGAAACCAAGGGTTTAATGGGCAAGGATCCTTTCTTATCAGACTATGTGCTTTTCTCCGGAGAAACGTGTGCATCGGCAGTAGGCCTGGTCATTGTGTCCTTTAGCCTGCTCTCAGTTCTAGATTACATACTCATTTGAAAGGTAAATGGACCAAATCAACAGTCAGACATAACAGTTCCCATCAAAGCCCAGCAACTAAGATGTTTGGGAAAAAGTTTCTTCTTTTTCCAATTCATCTTTCTCGTGGGACATGAAGCCTAATTTCCACTGCCTCTCTGTGCAAAGCCTGTATTGAAATTGGTCTAAGGTTCAGGTCCTGATTGCAACAGGAGTGGATAATCACTGCTTTAAATGTGAAGTATAGTATTGGTGTTATGTTATCATAATAGCTTTCTATCTATTATACAATATACGGGGCTCATCAGTGTTTACTGTAAACACTTCAGATACAGTGATTCATTCACTACTCACAAGGGTCCCATGAGGTAGGTATTACTATTATTATCTTTAGTTTTCAGATACAGAAATGGAGACTCAGAGATGTTCTGTAACTTATCTCTAAGGTCACACACCCACGAAGTGGCAAAACTGGTATTCAAACTGGGGCAGTCAGGCTCCACGTTCTATACCTATAACCACTAACTTAAATGATATCTCACAGGATGAGATTAAATCACAGAAGAGGTTTAGATTCTATGGTAGAAAGCATTAAAATTTTTTTCATTGAGTTCACCAATTCCGTCATGCATAGGAGCAAAGGTGAATATGTATTATCTTTTCCTAAACTGGAACATTCTGTCTATGATGGCTCAAGCCTTCTCTTTGCAGTGCTGGGATCTTGAATCTGTTTCTTTCAATACTACAATCTTAAGAATTTTCCACAAGAAGAGTAGAGAGGTGAGTATTGCTGGATGCTTTCTCCTAACTTTGCTTTCAAAGTATATACATATCAGATTTAAAATGGGGGGCGGTTCGCTGAAGGGAAAATACTTCTCTATGAAATGGGCTAGAGAAATTCCTTGTTGCAATTCCCACTGTTTGGGAGCCCATTTGCTGATTTTTAAACTCATTTGTTCTGATACAGCTCTTCATCCTTTCCACAAATCCCAAAGTAGTCTTCCTTCTTTTGTGAAGGCTGGACCCAACCTCCACATCAAGGCAATGGGCGTGGCCTTCCCTGAGCTCTGGCTAGTAAAGTACAAGGGAAGAATGCAGTGGGGTGGAGCAGGGGCAGCCGCTGTTTCTCACAGTTGCTCTTCATGCCACTTACTTAAAGCCTGTATAAAAGGAGCAGTCTTTGCACTTGAAAAGCTTCTTTCCCCCATGCTTGTCTCGATAATGGCGCCTAATGCTCTGGATGTAGCCAGAGGAGAATTCACAGAATTCGCAGTGAAGAACAGCTTCAGCTTTTTGCTCAGTGCCAGCAGCAGCTCCAGGAAGAGGCACAGGGCTAACTCTGCTGTTGTTTCTGGCCAGGGCGGCTGACTGATAGTGGTTCAATTGCTGCTGAACATCTGGGGGCTCGGAGTAGGATGAGTCTGTGGAGAGATGAGCACAATGACATGGGGTGCAGAGAACACAGTAGAGGCTGACGCTTGAGAACTCCCAGTGTTAGGGTCCCCCTCAGTCTCATTGAGGCATAATGGACAAATTAAAAATGTCCCTGTTTCTCAGCCATAAAGAACAAGAAACCAGAGACATTTATAGCTAAGTGGATGCACACTGAGGCCACACTCTTAAGTGAAATTAATAGGACACACGTGTAAATACCAAATAGTTTCTCTGGTGTGAGAAACTAAAAGTGTAAGTAAGGATCAAAATGTATAATTGATATTGTGAAATAGGAAGAAAAGGTCTAAAGGAGTAGGGGAAAAGGGAGAGGTGGGGAAAGGAAAGAAGGGAAAAGAAAAAATATGAGAAAAGGAAAAAAATGGAAACAAAATCTTTGTAAATAGGGAAGGGAGGAGGGGGTGAAGGGAGGGCAGGGGAAGGGGGAAAAAATAAGAACCAAGATACATCATGTAAAGGTACAAGATCCCAATGATGAATGTAACTGTATTGTATACCTAAAATGTATCAATAAACTTAATGAAAAAAATGTCCCTGTTGAAGGAGTACAACATAATGATTTGATAGATGTTGACACTGAAATGATTACAAGTTAATTAACACATCCGTTTCCTCCCAAGATTATCATTTTTTGGTGTGTAGTGAGCACGTTTGAGATTCTAGCACACTTCAAGTGCACGATACAGTATTATTAAACGTAGTCACCTGCTGTATATTAGACCCTCAGAGCTTGCCCCTCCTCTAACTGAAAGACTGCACCCTTTGACCAGCACCATCGGATTAGTTCTGAGTATTTTTTAAGGCTGATGGCTATGATTCCATCTCTCATCTTTGCTTACATTCTATGATTCAGATCTGGGAAACCACGTAGGGAGGAAGTGCCTCCTCTTTGCATCTGACTTTGAGGGCTCATGGCATTTAAAAATAAAATTCTGAGGTTAAAGGTTTCAAAGCAAAGGAAGAAAGTAAACTGCTTTATTTAAAGGAAACTGCAGCATTGCAACAAGTTGCCACTGAATACCCATCCTTGTAGGTGAGATAAATAAACCCACATAGTGTAGGAGAGGGGGTGATGCAACAGCTCCTTCTTTGCAGCCCAGAAATATTTACACCAACCAAATTAAAAAAAAAAAAATCAGTCTTTAACAGAAATGTTCAAGCACATGGCACACACACGAATATAAAAATGGGTTTTTTTGCCTTTACAGTCAAGTGATTTAAAATTTAAAATATAGAAGTCTAACAGTGTTCTTCTGGAATGGATGCTTAAAGCTTAGTCAGCATTAAGATGGAGATTTACTCATAAATCCCATTAAAATGAAATTCCAAACAAGTTCTCTGAAAGGTAGTTTGAAGTTTGCAATTCCAAGGAAAATGTCAGAAATGACAGGCACACATCTTTAACCCTGAGGAGTTTCAGTGGCCTGCGGTGGAGAAACCTGATCTGTATGGGAGGAAGGGAAGAGCTGAGTTCCTTCTTTACACTAAAAAAGGTAGAGAGAAAGTAAAATAAGAAAAAATTTAAAATTATTAGGGTGAGAGAAAATAAAAGAAAGGTCTTGAACCTTTTCCCAACACCCTGCTTTGAATGTGAAGGTTCAGAATTCAATGCTGTCCTACAAAACCCACAGCTGCCTATGAGTGACACAGATGAGGTCTGTGAATACCACACACAAGAATTTCAGTGTAACTTTCCTTGAAAAGAAAACAAAGGGCTCTTTTCTTAAGCCTTTCAGAAAGCAAAGGGGAAAGGGGAGCAAAACTGTACAAGCCTCCTCCTGATTTGATGGACACTTAATTTTCCAAAGCATGATTCCCCCAGGCGGGACATGGAGAATTCTGTAAAACCCGTATTCGATGAAACCAGGACCATCTATCCCACCGGCCTCCTGCAAAAGCAAAACAAAGACAGAGCAGCCTCCTTGATAGTGGGGGCACCTCCTCCTGACTTCAAAGTGGGGACATATCTTCTTTTCTTGTTCTCTGGTCCCCCCTCCTCAATTCACAGTCCTCAAAACTGAGGAAAAACCCCTTGGAAATTGTAAACAAACCTCAAACCTGACACACACACACACACACACGCACACACTCGCATGTGTGTGTGTGCGCACACACAGTGAAACAAAAGCAAACTGGAACAATCTCTCCATGCCTCTGTGGGTTCATTACCAGGTGTAAACTGAAGACTAAAGAAGAAAGGGATGACACAACTGAATTCATTTTATCCAGTTCTTTTATCTCCCTTTTCTTTATTCCTCTACCCTCACTGATGAACCCACTCAGGATCACAATAATCCCACTGTCAACTTCTCATTCTTTCTTTCAATAGCAGGTTTGTTTACCGTTTCATGGATTGTTCAGAGATGTTTTCTGTTTAAGCCCTTAAGACAAGTTTCTGCTTAAAACATGCACAATGAAGGGCAGCATGTGCATTCCGCTTCTCTCATTAACATAGTTCTGAGCAGCAGGTTAAGCATGGCCGGCCAGCGTCCCTCGAAAGCCTGGGTCCTCTTGTTGGTGTTGGTCCTAGCATGCAATTTTAGCTCTGCAGAATAGAAATTCTACAACCAACAAAGCCAAAGTCAGGTTCTGCTGCTAGAGATTTGTCCACAATGCACAAATCCATCCAGGGACGAAAACAAATATCCCAAGGAGTGGTCCACTTTGCAGTGAGTGGCTGCAGTGGGGTCTCTGACATGGCACAGCCCTCAGGGAGTGTCTCACAGCTTTGGATGGATACTGCTGCACACTTCAGACACCAAGCACTTTGACAGCTTTGATTTTTTCACAGCAAAGCTATAAAGGGATATGTGGCTCCTACTCAAGACGATATGCCAGGTGAATGTGTCTCCCCTTATCTTCCACTCACCCCAACTCAACCCATGCGCTCATTTAGGCAGACACCCTCTAGGAGAAGTCTTTTAGGTAACACATTTTTCTCGTCTTCTGGGGGGTCTCTTACTCCTAGGATGATTTCATCTGTCTGAAAAAAACACATTCTAAATTTTGATCCAGTATTTATATGGTATAGAAATACTTGGAAGAAATAAAAATATATGAATCTTGGGAAAAGCATTCTGAGAGACTCATCATCCTTCTTAAATGCCAATGCAAAAGGAACAGTTGTAGGTATCTATGTTATAACTCCTTTTTTCTTCCTGGTTAAGATCGGGTGGACAGGTGTATTTATAAAAAGAAGCAAATCCCAATGCTTATGATACGTCTGTAATTATGCCCAGGTAACAACTTCTGGATTTTCTTAGCCCTTTCCTTTCCTTTCCTTTCCTTTCCTTTCCTTTCCTTTCCTTTCCTTTCCTTTCCTTTCTGGTACCAGCATTCTCAATCTCCCCCCAACCCTTAGTGAATAATGTACGATTTTAGCACTTTGAGCACTAAAGTGACAAAGATGTGAGTGTGTATGATTCCACCGATCTTAAAAAAGCCTACTTGCTAAGCAACATAAAATCCCAGCTTGCTCAGGAAGCCCAGCCCCAAGAGCAGGAAGAGGGTCATTCTGTGCCCAGGTTAGAAAGCCAGATTGCCAGTAAAAGGGAATGTCACATAAGTTAAAAATGATCATTAGGACCTATTCTTTTTCATTCTGAGCTTACAGAAAGAAAAGTAAAAAACACTCTAGTGTTTACAGTGGCAAACTTCTGGTTTTGGGGAAAAACAGCAGCTGAAGCTCATGGATGCAGATTCAGGAGGAAATTCTGTACCTAACAGCAGGTCACAAAAGCTACATTTATCACCTGCAGGGCCAATGGTGTCTGCAATGGAACCTGCAGCAAAGACTAAAGGTGTTTACCTTTGAAAACACGTCATGGCTTCGTGAAACCCACCTTCCAATCCAATCAGCCTTGAGACATGTTGTCTAGAAAAGTTTAATGCCCTGACTTATGACTTAATTTATATGCAAAGTTTTATAAATTAAATTTTCTTAAGTTATATTAAACTTTTATAAATTGTCTATAATAAGAAAAGAATTATATTTCGTAAAATCAGGGTCAAACTACAATTTTAATACGGATAGTTACAGAGTCTACAAGATTTGGAATATATGGAGTAATCAGCAATTAATTCTCACAGCTATGGTATGCAGTATAATCAGGTTCACACTCCAGTTTTACCTGTGAGGTAGCTAAAGCTGAGGACGGTTGGCAACAGCTAATTAAGATGCAGAGGCAGGATCTGAACAAAGGTCTCTGAGTATAACACCTGAGTCTTGTCTATCACGCATTCACACCCAAAAGTGACCTCTAGGGAGCTATGATACGAATCAGAGCGATGAGAGATATGAGCATTCTTTCAACAATAAATAGAGAGGAGAAAGAGAAAGTAGTGCTACCAAGGTTGAAATAGTTAAGAAAATAACATCAGAAAACATAAAAATGCTAACAGAATAGACTGAAATAACATTAAGCCAAAAAGAAAAATGAAACACTCAAATATTTCAGAGCATATAGCAAATAATAAACCCAGCAAGATTCATGATAAAGAAAAAGGAAATCCAAAATTTCAAACTGTTTTATAAAAGCAATACAGGAAACATCTCTAGAAGCATTTTGTGCAGGTATGCATTGCAAATACCCAGAACTGGAAACTTCCTAAATGTCAGACTTTAGTTAGATGCTAGATAGGTTGTCCTCAAAAAACAATGCTCGAAAAATTCAAGTGGGATTTGGCTGGAAAAGACAGGTACACCAACGCGAATGGAGATAGGTGCTTTAGGTGCCTCTAGAATAGGGCAGGTTTTCACAACAGGAACGGCTGTATTCTGGTTGAGCTCTCCTAGTCCTCTCACTTACTAATGTTCCTGGAGAAATGGAAAATTTAATTTTAGATCTTTAGAATACCAGGCAAACCCAGGTGAATAGCAACTTCAGGGTTTCATTTTTATTTTTATTTTTTTGTCATTTTAGTTTGTTTTCCTTTTTCTGCCAGAAAGTAGCTAGTGCAGAAACAATCA